ACATACACACACGTGTCTACAACAACCGAGCAGGCGAGCACCTCCGCCCCAACGCGTATGTGCCGGACGCTGAGGGGAGCCTTCCTGTGCCAAAGCCATTCGGGCCCCACGCGCCGTTCAAGCCATCAGCACCGCCAGCACACATGCGCCACTTCCGTCGCAGCGTGCAGACGTCCCAGTCAAAAACAACAACGCCGCAGTCAACACTCGCGCTCTAACGCGGGCATAACTCACGTCTGGCATGTGTTACGAACGTGGTTGGATTGTGTGTGTGGGGGGGGGGGGTTGCAGGTAACGGGAAACGTTTGGGGGATTGGATGATGACCACCACCCGGACACAACGTAGGTGGACCCGAGAAAATGATGGAAGGACACGGGGGCAATGATACGCATGCGCAGCCACAGCTCGTTGATGCGACGCAGGTGCACATGTACCCAGTGCAATCCGTGACGATGACATGCAGCACCATGTCACGTTGGTGGTGGAGGTGCTGGTGGCTGACATGTGCACTGGTGTTGTGATGTGTTCGATCACGCCACGGTCTTGTTGACGTCCTTGAGGATCTCCATCGCAGCAGCGGGGATGCGTGTGCCTGTCAATAATCAGTTGTAAGAGTGGCCGTGTGTCGTAGTGTGAGGTGAAGTGTGAGTGTGCATTGGGCCGTGTACATGATTGAGGATTGCTTGCTGGTCGAGCACATGTGTCCTGTTCCTCATGTTTTGTTCTCTGTTGTTGCTGTACACATCTCCCAATACAACTTAGACAACACCACCAAGTCAAAGCACCACATGTGTGTGAGTGTGAGCGCGCGCGCGCGTGTGTGTGTCGCTGACCTGGACCGAAGATGTGGCGCACGCCGTGGTCGTGCAGGAATGGGTAGTCCTGTGGTGGGATCACACCACCGACGACGACAATAATGTCATCACGACCCATCTCCTCTGCAAAGGCGGAGACAAACACAAAGTCACAGTGGTGGTGTTGTAACCGTGAGCGAGTGATGTGCACACACAGCACAATGGGACACGGCATAAAACACGTGCAGCCAAACACCGCCAACGGAAGCAGCGTAGCATGTTTTGGTGATACAGACATCCATCAAGTTGTTGGCAACGCACTGAGCTGAGCAATGAGCTCTGGGACGAGGGTCTTGTGGCCGGCGGCCTGGGAGCTCACGCCAACAACGTGCACATCCGCATCCACGCACTGCTGTGCAACCTCTTGCGGCGTCTGCACGAAAGAGCACGATCAAGGCGTGAGAAGGGGTGAGGGGTGGAGGAGCAGGGAGGTTATATGTGTGGATGTGTGTGGATGTGTGTTTTTATGTCTGTGTATGTGTGTGCGTATGTGTGTGTATGCGTGTGCATGTGTGCATATGCATGTGTGTGTGCTTGTGTTTTCTCACCTG